TCTCTCTCTCTCTCTCTCTCTCTCTCTCTCTCTCTCTCTCTCTCTCTCTCTCAAAATCCCCCAAGGTAATCAGAGATCAGTAATGAACACTATCAACTCACTCCCCTCCACATCTGTTTACCCTCTCCCTCTCCCTCCTCTAATTTTTTATTTATTTTTTCACAATGTTTCCCTGTCCTTAGCGCCACCACCACCACACAAATGCCGGTACACAGACAGGGATCCCAATTACCACCTAATTAAAATACTATCGTCGTCCTTAAGGTATCATCATCCAACTGACCTGCCCTGATTACATCTGGATTCAAACTTGGGTCCGTATTTCAACAGTGCGTGGGTGTATCAACTGAGCAACCAAGGCTCTTTGTGGCCCCAACATAACCCAGCCAGATAGTGAATATATATATACAAGCTAGCTATATTTCCGGTCAGTTAAAGCCAAAATAAGGGTGCGTTGTGTTCGGGGAAAGAGGTAGGCTGTTTTGTTTACTATCGTGTTTCCTGCTTAACCCCATAGCCAAGACAAAGAAGAAGAAGAAGAAGAAGAAGAAAGAAGAAAGAAGAAGAAGAAGAAGAAGAAGCAGAAGAAGAATAGTGAGAACGAAGAGGGAAGAAGCAAATACAGGGGCCAACTGCCTTTTTTTTTTCTTTTTTTTTTTCCCTACCAACTGCCTTTTTTTATTATTATTATTATTATTTTTCCTACCAACTGCCTTTTTTTTTTTTTTTGCATCTTAAAGTGTTCGACACAATACAAATCCCCGCGCAGATGAAGGGTCGCACCAACGAGGAGCACATTCGCCCACCCCACGCGGGTTTCGGTCCGTTGATCAGTTGAGATCCGATGGTCCTCAGAAAACTTCGCCTACTACCATGCCTTGCGGCACACCAACAATACCTTCTTCCCCCCAAAACAACGTACGGTCATTGTAGCTGCATTGGAGGCATCTTTCAGTCTAGATACAGCTATAATGACCGTCCGTTGTATTCGGGGGAAGAAGGTAGCAAAGCTAACCCCCATGTCAATACGCATATGCTTTCACACGACCTGAAGTCCAATGAAAGGAGTCGAACACCCGACTTCCCGCTTGGGACGTCTTCATCAACAGGGCCGGACAGCCGAGAGAGGGCACCTCCCACAAGAGAGAAGGTAGGTGGGAAAGGAGGGGGAGTGCGGGGAGGGGGGGGAAGAGAGACCGAGAAAAGCTGTGACGCGTGTCTGACAGGGCACATGGCGCCACCTGTCAATGCATACACTCGAACTTCAGCCCACCAAATAGAACACCGAATAGAAAGCCCACCCAAAATAGTCGCACCACACGCCCCAGCGCCATCCCGCCCACGACGGGCGGGGCTAAGCAATATCAGCTAACCGTCGTCACCCGAATAGAACGCCCGGTCGTTATAGCTGCTGTAACTTTTGGGACAACTTTCCGTCCAGATACAGGTATGACGACCCACAGGTAAACCCACAGGTAAAATGACCGGGCGTTCTATTCGGGTGAAGATCCGAGCTGTTGATCGATTTTTTTTTTATTTTTTATTTTTTTAATTTGGACCATTTCTCGATTTATGCGTGTCATCTTTCGTTGCGCAGGGGCCATTTGCTAATAATCTACCCTTCTCTGTATCGTTCCAATTTTAACGGATGTCCCGAAGGACAGCTGTTGATCGTTCCGTGGACTACAGTGCCATATTCTTTCCCGCGAACACAACGCACCCTCACCATGAATGTTCACATGCTATTTTTCCGGTCAGATACGGTCGTGATGACTGGCTGCGTTTCGTTCATCAAACTCTCTCTTGCTCTCGCAGCCACACCACTCACCCCCACACGCGCACGCAGGCACACGTCCGCGCACGTCCGCGCACGTCCGCGCAGACGGCATACAAGCGCCTTGCTGGCAAACTACCTCTCAATGGCACCATCCATACCCTTCAAGACAGGCCAAACATGGGACCGAAGGACGGAAAGGGAACGTCGTCCCAAATGACAGGCCCAAAAATGGCACCGGAGGACATCCGTTAAAATTGGAACGATACAGAGAAGGGTAGATTAGCAAATGGCCCCTGCGCAAGGAAGGATGACATGCATAAGTCGAGAAATGGTCCCAGAAAAGGAAAAAAGAAAAGAAATCGAGCAAATGGGACGCGGACAAAAATGGAACGTCGTCCCAAATGAGAGGGACAAAAATGGGACTCGGGCAAAAACGGGAAGCGAGCAAATGGGACGTCGTCTCCCAAATGGGACGGGGGGACCAAAATGGGACCAGGGGGACCAAAATGGGACCGGGGGGGACCAAATAAAGTAAAAAGGGGCAAATGGAACGCGGACGCGCACACGGGATATGGACTTTCAGCACCCCTAACTGGATCTGACATTTGTCTTTCCGTCTTTTTTTCCTTTCTTTCTTTTTTTCCCTGTCGGCTTCGATGGTTCTGTTGCTTTATTACTTTAAATCAGGAAAAACAAAACATGTAGACAATATTTTTTTGTATTTTAAGATAACAATCCTTCAAGGTTTGAAGGGACAACCGAACGGATTAAAAAAAAAAAACGCTAAGGTCCTGTAATATACGATTTTTTCTTTTTCTTTTTTTTTACACACATGAAACACAC